GCTCCCATGTAGCTGTATCCAGTGCTGCGGCAGGTAGGGAAGCCCTAAAACCCCTCAGTGACTTCACTGTGGCCATCACACAGTGCCAGAAAACACCGAATTTATCATCCTGCCTGAATTCGTGGTGGCGAGTCAGCTGGGATGTACTGAGTGTCCGGATGGCAGCCAAGGCAGCCCTAATATTTGGCTTTTTCGGAGCCGGGGAAGCGTGTTTCCAATGAAAGGCCAGGCACGGGGCACTTCCCCACCTGCTCATGCGAGTCTCCTCCTCCATGTCCCCCCCCGTGTCCGTGTCCCACTTCCAGCCCGCTCTGTGCCATCCCTTTCTGCCCATGCAGGCGATTCCCTCTCTGAACGCCTGGATTTGAGAGCAGGGGGACCTGAGACAGTGGGTTTGTTCTCCCCTCTGCTTGGGGGCCTTTCTGATCCCCCCCCACCCAGTGTCACTCTGATCTCTCAACCCAAAGGGAAGGCCTCCACAGCCCCTGGGTGAGAAATGGTCAAATCTGTCCCAGAAAGGCAAGCGTGCCCTGGGAGAGGGTAATCCTGAGCCCTCTTCCAGCGTTACTTGTGCAGTAAAGACGCAGGGTCCAGCCGTTTAAACGACAACAGGAGCGTCTCGTGAGTGCCTGCCTCAGCAGGGGACAAAAGTGTTTGTCTCAGTTTGGCTAAATGAGGATTTCTGCTGGTTTGGGGTTTTTCTAATTGGCTTTTTCTACTTCTTTCTTTTTCTACTTTATTCAACTTGCTGTCCCCTTTACCTTTTTCGTAATATATTCGACCATCACCTTCATCTCCTCCCTTTTCAACGTGGGATTCCTCAGCTTTGCTTTTTCTGGGTGTCCCGTCCCAGTGCTCCTGCAGCCCTTTGGGCTGACCGTACTTGCTCCGTGCCAGTGAGATGAAATAGCACCTGGAAACCCTCTTGCTTTGGCCATGAATTCACTTCTCCGCACCTTGAGACCTGGCCGGGGTTGGGAGGCGTGGGTGAGGAGCAGTGTTTCTTGGAGCACTCGTTAAGCTTTAATAGGATCAAAGTGGTTATTAATAGCGTTTAGCTCTTTCACTCGTAGCTCACCCCCTTGCCTTCCCTTGCAGTTGCCTGGTTGAAGCTCCATCCGCAGCTGCAGTGGGCTCCCATCGATACCTGGGTGCCGGGGGGGGGTTGGAAAATCCCTTGGAAAGACCCGCTGCATCACTGGCTGCCTGTACTCCCGCAAACTCCTGTGCGTAGCAGCCACCGAGTTATACCAAATGACACCCCGTCGCGGATGCCGGCGCGGGCCGGTGGCCTCGGGCAGACTCGGTGGGGTCTTTGTGCCCAGAGTTTATCGGTTCTTGGTGGTCCCACCACGCAGCAGGTCTCCAGCACTTATCAGTCCTTGGAAGGCTTCGGCACGCTGCCTTCCCAGCCCGTACCTTTCTTCTCTTCTGCTTTTTATTCTCTGCCAGCTGTTTCCCTGCTCCTGCCCACGGGAGTCCTTTCTCAGGCGCCTTTAGGGCAGTTTTATGTCTGGTTTCGCAGCAGCTTCCTCGCCGTGTTGGCGGCAGGTCGGTGGGCGCGCTCTCCTCTGTGCAATGTGGTGCTTGGAGGCTCTTAAAGCATCCGCTGCTCCTGAGGGCTCCCCCACCCCGCTGCCTCTCACCGGGATGCCTCTGGACACAAAAGGCAAGACCGAACCACCTGAATTTAGCTTTTGCGATAGAGCTCTGTGTTTTATCTGGTCATTCTTGCCTGTGCATCAGGCCCTCGCGGGGTGTGATTTCACGTGAGATTTCGGGAGACGGATTGTGCTTTAGCCTTCTTCCCCTCCCTTGGCTAAACTGATCCACGCGCGGTGTCCCAAATGGGGCAGCAAATCCAGCCCGAGGATCTCCAAGGTGGATATCGGAGCCCGGCGTCTCTTGTTGAGCTGTGCAACCGCTGAACAGGCTCCGGAGGTATCAGTGGCCTTGGATGGAGCCTGGAAAAACACCGGCCTAAGAGAGGAGCGTTTGCTGAGAAGGTGATCTGAAAAACCACCCCAGTAACTCTCCGGAGCAGAGTTGTGCTGTTGAATCCCCAGGAGCTGGGGGCTGAATCCCTCCGTGCATCCACTGCCTGTGCCTGAGGCGGGGCTGGCAGCTCCTTGTCGCAGACGAGGGGTCACACAGGCACCCGGGGAGACCAGGCAGCCTCTGAGGAGCTTTGCAACCTGCCTGGAAGCTGCCGGCCAGCCGGTACGGCCCTTGATGGCTGAGGACATGGTTGAGGCCAGTCCCTCCGTTGTTGCTCTGACCCAAGAACTCGGCAGGCCACGCGAGGAAGCAAATTGCTCCCTGCTATGAATAGCCGCAGCCTTCAGTGCTAGTAACAGGCTCATGGGTAAAAAGTCCTTTAAGTGCTGACCTGGGCTGTTTCTCTGGCACTAGGACTGCCCACCACCTCGATCCCCCGAACGGAAAAGGGTTTGGTGACGCCAGGTTTTACAGACATTCTGTAGTGGCTGTCTCTCTACCTCCTCCCCACGCACCCTCCTTCTCCATCTTCCCCCCGCTCCTTCTCTGTCTCTCCGCCATCACGGATGAGCGGTTAGGTCGCTTAAAGAATCACCATCAAAGGTATTGGCAAGTAGTGATTTTAATAGAAATTTATAAACGTGTGATTTAACAGAGTTCAATGGCAAGGTTCACTCTTGCTTATTAAAGGAATGGAATGTATATAAAGAATTGAGGTAGAGGTGAATGAGAATGATTTATGCAGAGACTGAAAACCCAAGGGGGAAAAGGGGGCCCTCCCGTTGAGTCACGAGGTTCGGAATGGACCCCCTTGCTTTCTGAACTCCGCAGAGAGGAGCCCAGGTGCGGCTGGATCCAGATTTCATCTCAGACTTTATCAACGGTTTATGTCTAAACATTATCCATGTCTAGCAGCAGTTTAAGTTTTTGTGGTGGTGCATCTCCCCTCCCATCACCTTCCCGGACTGTTTTACAATCGCAGTCGCTCCCGTCAAGACTTGGCCTTTGTGCAGCGAGTTTGGGGGTTAAGCGTCCCTGGACCGTATCAGAAACCCACGGCTGAGGTGGGAGCAGCGCTGGCCGTACCAGGAATAATCAGTCGCCCCCTGACAGCCTTGGAACGTGTCTTATCTGGGTTGTAACTCGGGCAGATTGGTACGGATGGATCTGTACCAGTGTCACTGGAGTTTTTGAGAACTCCAGGAATTACCCACCCGGATTGTGGCCAGGATGAAAATTTACTGATGCCTGAAGTCAATCATCTCACCACCCTAGAAACAGCGGTACCAAGGGAGACCCTCTGAGCTCTGCTGGACCACAGGGGGCTGCGCCCAGTCTCTCCCTCTAACTGGGACGCCTCTCAGAGCTGCGAACTGTTAAGTTTGCATACAGAGGCCTGGTGGGATTCCATTTGCTGGACGGACAGACCCAGTTGTCATCCAGGCACTATTCATTTTTTGATCTCAAATTTTGGGGAAGAAAAGGGTTATTATCTCCTCTCCAGGAAGACCCCAGGAAGGACTTGGCTTGGGGCAACGGGTGGAGGTTGAGGCACGATGACGTGGTGACATGGACCTCTTTGAGGCACATCCCAACGGAGGACCACCACGCTGACCAGCCTGGAGGGCTGCGCCTATAAGCACCTTTTAGGCACCTAAAAGTTGCCAGGTTCCTTTTATGTTCGGTGGGGAAGGGCAGGGACTCACGTCCCCGAGGGACCTGATGCTCCTCATAATCCCATCTGGACGTGTTGCTGCTCCCCTGTCACGGATGAGCGGTTAGGTCGCTTAAAGAATCACCATCAAAGGTATTGGCAAGTAGTGATTTTAATGGAAATTTATAAACGTGCGATTTAACAGAGTTCAATGGCAAGGTTCACTCTTGCTTATTAAAGGAATGGAATGTATATAAAGAATTGAGGTAGACATATAAATAATTAATATATAATATATATATAAAGAAAAAGAATTTAGAGGAGCCCAGGTGCGGCTGGATCCAGATTTCATCTCAGACTTTATCAACGGTTTATGTCTAAGGATTATATGTGTCTATCAGCAGTTTAAGGTTGATTCACAGTTAAAGAGAGAATCACAGGACTTTAACAGCAATTAATCATTGGTGGATTTAGCATTTACAGAGTGATTAAATAGGATTTACTGCACTATTGGAATCGATTCACGCACACAATATGCATATAAAGGTACCTGTCAAAAATTCCCCTCGAGCTAAGTGAAATACTCGCGTCAAATGATCGTCTCGACCGGCGAAGGTCGAGCCTCAAGGAGCGAGGGGGGCCCGAGTTCAGCCCAGCTCCTGTCGCCAGGCCTCTGTATGCAAACTTAACAGTTCGCAGCTCTGAGAGGCGTCCCAGTTAGAGGGAGAGACTGGGCGCAGCCCCTGTGGTCCAGGAGAGCTCAGAGGGTCTCCCTTGGTACCGCTGTTTCTAGGGTGGTGAGATGATTGACTTCAGGCATCAGTAAATTTTCATCCTGGCCGCAATCCGGGTGGGTAATTCCTGGAGTTCACAGAAATTCCAGTAACGCTGGTACGGATCCGCCTGAGTTAGGATCCAGATAAGATCTGTTCCAAGGCTGCCAGGGGATGACTGATGAGTCCCGCTCTCGTTCCCCACCTTGGCCAGGCAAGCGGGGTCCCTGGTACGGTCAGTGCTGCTCTCGCCTCAGCCGTGCATTGCTGGCAGGGTCAAGGGACGCTTAACCCCCAAACTCATCGCACGAAGGCCGAGTCTTGGTGGGAATTCCTGAGATGGTAAAGCGGTCCAGGAGATGGGGGAGGAAAATGCACCCCCCCTACCTTCTCCATCTCCCCCACCCTGCCCCCCTTTCCGTCTCCCCCTCGTCCCTATATGTCTGTATGTCCCTCTGACCTTCGTCTGCGCTGCTGCCACCCGTGCCTTCATCTTCACAACCCTTCCGTCATGGTCCTGCCCCCGGCCCGTCATCCCTCTCACTCTCTCCGTTCTTGTTTTTGCAGGGGCTGCCATGGAAGGGCAGCCAGGTCCTCCAGCCTGCGAGCCCTCCTTTTCCCAGAGACTCTCCCCCCTTTCCGAAGGAGATGGGCCTGAAGGCGAAGAAGAGCAGGAGGAGGCTCAGGAGGAGGATGCAGCCAGGGCGCAGCCAGGACAAGAGCCGGGGGAAAGCTCCCCAGAGCAGCTGGGGCAAGCTTCTCTGCGCCGCTTGGGACGGTGCTGGCGTGGGCAGGGCTCTCTCGCCTCTCCAGGTGCAGGCAGGCCCTGCCAGAAGACTGGTGAGGACGAGGGGGCTTCCCCGTGCCACGAGGCACTGGGGGAGCTGCGGCCGTGCCGGCGGAAGCACCGGTTGTGCCTGAAACCTGAGGCAAGCCAGGCCTCTGCATCCCCGGGACGGGGGGAGAATGCCGAAGAGCCGGGACCCTCTCGGGGGAAGAGGCTGCGGTTGATCTGGGGCCGGACAGGTGACTTCAGACAGAGGGAGATGGAGAACGGGCTGGAGGAGGCACTGCGGAGCAGCGAGGAGGAGGAGGAGAGGCAGTCTCGGTCCTGCTCCCCTGAGCTGCCCCTTTCTGATGATGCCCATCCTAAGCCGGACTTTGTACAGCTGATCGACGAGCGCGGCATCTACTCCACCGCCAAGCTGGTGCTGGGGAGCGCGGTGGGTGAGCTGGAGGAGGTGGCGGCAGGGCTGCCGGCCCACCCGAAGCGGGGAGCGAGCGGCGTCGGCGAGCTGGAGATCCGTGAGGTGATTGTGGACGAGAAGCCCTTCCAGTGCGGCGTCTGCGAGAAGGCCTTCAAACGGGCTTGGGAGCTGTTCAGCCACGAGGTGGTACACAACGAGGAGCGTCCCTTTCGCTGCGACCTCTGCCAGGCCTCCTTCAAGCGCCACTCGGACTTCAAAAGCCACCGGCTGGTCCACACAGAGGAGCGCCCCTTCCGCTGCGAGCTCTGCGGCAAGCGCTTCAAGCGCTCCTCCAACCTCCAAGAGCACCGGCGCATTCACAGCGGCGAGCGTCCCTTCCGCTGCCCCCGCTGCGCCAAGAGCTTCAAGACCCCCTACGAGCTGCAGCGCCATGCGCTCACCCACTGCGCCGAGAAGCCCTTCAAGTGCGCCGACTGCGGGAAGGACTTCCCCACCTCCAACGCCCTCCTCCTCCATCAGCGCCAGCACTGCGACGACAAACCCCACGTCTGCGGGGTCTGCGGGAAGAAGTTCACCTACGGGCACAGCCTCAAGGTGCACGAGCGGGTGCACACGGGCGACCGCCCCTTCATCTGCCCGCTCTGCGGCAAGGGCTTCAAGCAATCCAACGCCCTCTCCTCCCACGAGCGGGTGCACACCGGTGAGCGCCCCTTCATCTGCAAAACCTGCGGGAAGGCCTTCAAGCAGTCGTCCTACCTGGTGATCCATGAGCGGGCGCACACGGGGGAACGCCCTTACAAGTGTGAGGTGTGCGGGAAGGCCTTCGCCCGACCCTCCTTGCTCCTCCAGCACCACCGCGTGCACAGCCAGGAGCGGCCCTACAAGTGCAGCTTCTGCCACAAGTTCTTCAAGGACCTGGCCTACCTGGCCGTGCACGAGAAGGTGCACACGGGTGAGACCCCGTACAAGTGCAGCGTCTGTGACAAGGGTTTCGCTCACCCCTCCAACCTGCTGCAGCACCAGCGCGTGCACCGCGACGGCTGAGCCCCGGCGTGGCGAGCACAGCCATGGTGTTGCCAGGCCGCGGCAGCTGTGAGCGCGCCGCCACCGACAGCAGAGCTGCAGGCTGGGGGACCCTGTGTGTGCACCCAAGGACCGGTGTGGACCCCTGCAAAGCTGCAGCGCTTCTCCTGAGCTCCAGCCCTTCACCGAACCTGGACCTGCGCCATGCTCTCCTCCCTCCATAGGGGGTGATCCCAGCAGGACCCTCCCCGAGCCCGTGGGCCAGGGTGGCTGCAAGCTCCTGGCAGGCCTGCCGTGGCTTGTGGCATGCCGTGGCTCGTGGCACACCGCTGCCGGGCAGGCAGGAGCCCTCTTCTTTGCCCTCATGCAGGGAGGAGGGCTGAGACCTCCCTTAAGTCGTCCCAAGACCCCCTCCCTAGTCATCCCAGTGAGTGTGGCTCAGCCTGGGCTGGGGGCTCCCAGGGAGTTGGGGCACGCTGTTGCCTGCAGGAGGGGACAGACCTGCCTGGTTTTGGGGAGGGAGATATGACGACGGTACGGGTAGCAGAAAGGATTGCGGGGGAGAGCGAGGAGCGGGCACCTCCCTTTCCCCCTGAAGCCTTTTGGGGTTCAAGTGTCCCGTCCATATCTCATGCTGCTGCTAATGACCTGGTTAATCGCCCCCTTTTTTTCTGCCCCAGGGTGCTGGTAGGGGTGGTAGGGAGCAGAAGAAAGGGGGTACACATGCTGCTGCCGTCCACTTTGGGAGCCTCAGCAAGCAACACCCGGCGCTAGAAATCCTTCAGCCGCTCCTAGGACTTTACAGGCAGGAACCTGGATGGGGTACGGGCAAGCAAGACACAAACAGCCCTCTGCATCCTCCTCCTCCTCCTTCTTCTCTCTTGCTTCCCGGAGCTACCCCTGCGCTGCCACCAGAGCCTGGATTTGTCCTCCCTTGGTTGATGGCTGCTGGGCAGAGGGCGGCACACGGACCTTTGCTCATGAGGGCAAAGTCCTGTCCTTGCCTGCACTGGTGCCCTTGTGCTGTCCTTTGGACTCCTGGACATCCCAGGTCCCGCCCCGTCCCCCCTTTTCGTACGGTCCCTGTAGCGCTGGGAACGGGGGGGTGGGATGTGTGTGCTCCTCGGCGCTCTGCACACTAATTACAGGATGGTTATTTAACAACGGCTCTGTCTTATCGCCTCCTCCAGCTCGTGGCTGGGTCTTGACAGGGGCTTTTGGTGCTGGTGCAATCCTTGGTGATCTTGCTTCCTTCCCTCCTTCAGACGTGAATGAGAGGTCTCCTGGCACATGCTGCTGGCAGACGTTGTAAGGAGAGACCCACCAAATCCCGGGTGCGAGGCAGATCTCACACAGCACCGCTGAGCCTGTACCCTGCAGAAGTTGGGTGCAAGATGGGCCAGCGAGATGCATTTGGGATGTGGGCTGGTGGATCTCCCTGCAAGGACTGTTGTGGGCCTCCTGGTCACCTTGGTCTTCTCCCCTGCCCCTCAGCTTCCCAGCTTCCTCCCATTTCAGCCCTTGAGACAGCACTGGGGCAGGTCTGGCCTCTTCCAAATGCTGTTCCCAGCTGTGGGTTGTGAGGTTGTGATTTGGCTTCAGAGTTGAGCCTGTCCCTGAACATCTGTCCTCGGTAACCCAGCCGGTGGTGGACACATCTCAACAGGATCCCATCCTGGGATCTGCTGTGTCCATGTGTCTCTGGGTAGAGGAGGTTGCAGCTGCAGCCCTGGGCACAGACTGCCTGCGGTGATGGTTCTTCACCCTTTAAGGCGTGGCAAGATGCTGGAGGTGGTGTATTGGCCACGAAGCACCTACATGATGTGTGTTGTAGTGGTGGGGGCCCCTTCGCCCCAACCCCGGAGCAGCCACAGCTCCCCTTAGGCTGCATCCCACCCAAACTCACCCTCTCCTTTAACTCGTGGTCCTGAGCAGAGGGGGATTCTCATAAAAGAGGAAAAACTTGGGGACATGGGATTTGGTGGCAGGAGGTGGTGTCATTTACATCACTCCAGGTCCCTTCCTTGTCACATTTTTGCCTCTGTGGGTGTCACGCACTTGAAGGCACCTCCAATGATGCATGTTGTCTGTGTAGGAGCAGCCCAATCAAGTGCTCCAAATGGCTGATGGAGAGCTGGGATTGCATTCAGCTGCTGAGGCCATCAGAGATGATCTGGGGTACCCAGCTGGCCTTCAGCTCCTCTTCCAGGAGTGCTTGCATCTCTTACAGACCCTAAGTCCTCTATGCCAGCCCCCCATGAGTGTCTGGGGTGATTGAGGGCATCTCAGGTGGCACTCGGTAGCCAGACTCTCTGTGTTCTTATGGTTTGACAAGCCCCAACCTTTGATGGGCATCCTGCCCTGTGGGATCTCCAGCCGTAGGCATCCTGGAGGCCAAAGGGAGGTTTACCTTCCTGATCTCCTGCATTTCATATGGAGGGAGAGGACCATCTCTGGTGGTTCAAGCCCCAGGGTGACTGCTCCCAGAGATGCCCATCTCGGAATTAAGGCTTTTCTCGTGTGCTGGGATCATGCGTTGCGTGATCACCAAGCAATGGTCATCACCAAGCAATGGATAAGGTCACCAAGTGATGACCTTATGGCCAACACCAGCTTGGTAGCTGGTAAGGAAAGGGATGGCCTTGCTGCTGGAGGAAATTATTTCAGGTTTTGTGCTGCTTGGATGTTCTGCAGACCCCCTGCTCCTCTCTAAGCCATGGCCTGGGGGGTGATCTCATGCTGGTGCTGCCCAGCTTTTCCAGTCCATCTTGAGAGGTTTCCTCCAGCACCTGGTGAGCTCCTGGAGTTTCTCAGGTGGGATCTAGGGGACAGCTTCACCTGGGGTGAGGAGCACGGGGGCTCGCATGGAGGGCTTTCAGTTTATTTCTGAATGTGATGGACCCCAAGCAGCCCTGACTCTGATTTTGCTCCTAATTTGGGGACCTTACTCTCCAGCCCTTCTGAAGCATCACAGGAAAAAGAAGAAATGCGGAGAAACCTTTGGTTCTGCCCCTTTCCCAGTTTTGGGATGTCCTTCATCCCTGGGGAAGGTGGAAAGAGGACTGGGCACAATGTACCTGCGCTTCCTTCTGGCAAGGAAGGCATCAGTTGCCTTGGCAGATGCCATCTTCTGCTGTTGGGACCTCTGCTCATTGGGTTTTCTGACCTCCCTCCCATCATCCCGGGTGTTTTGGGGGCACAGCCCTCAGTTTGCGAGCCTGCCGGCCCCCAGGGTGAGGCTGAGAGTGGGGTCTCTCTGTACTGGGATGCTTTTAGGCATGGGGTGCTAGCGGAGAACCGTGAGCGATCGCACATCTTGTGTCCTCGCGAACCTCAGCAGGGAGGTTCCCCACGGTTGGGTCCCCAAGGGATGGTTGCAGGTTGGGGGCATGAGGCAAGGAAAATGGAGTTCTGTGCCTGCCCCAAAATGCACCCGGGGATGGACAGCTGAGCATTCGGGGCTGGGGGGTAAAGCACTTTGCAGCTCTGGCACCTGAGTTGGTCAAGAAATGGGGGGACTTGCTTCCATCCAAGGTCTGGGGGAAGCCATGGCAGAGGAGCACAAAAGCAGCTCACGTCCCCCACCAGCGCTCACGCCCATCATGCCTGGAGGCTTAGGGACCCCCTTTTAATTTATTTGCACCCTTCCTTCTGCTTCTCTGCTCCTTTGGCCTTGTGCCGGTCGCCAGGTTCATTGGGCTCCTCCTGAGCCCTGGGGGCTGCCCAGGGGGTGCCGAGGCGGGTTAAATAAATGTCACCAGACTGGGAGACCCTGCTTGGCCAGCTGTTTCGGGGCTTCTGATGGAAGTCATTGGTACTGGCTGGTTTCGAGCCCGTCAGCTCCTGCTTTGCAGTCTTCAGGAAAGCAGATTAGGGAAAAGGGGGGGCAGTGGGAGCCCTGGGCGACCCCCCCGGGGCACGAGCTCGGGAGGGGCTGGCATCACGGGGCAGCGTCTTCCTTCGTGAGCTGCGTCGTCTCGGTGTCGGCATCTTCGGAGGCTTCTGCCTTGGTGGGGACGTAGATGGCCCCCATGGGCTGGAAGGACGTCGCTGAGGCACTCTGGTCTCTGGGGTGCCAGCGGGCTGTGAGATGGAGGGAATGCCGGGCTGTCACCGGGCTCTGGTAGCTGCTGAGCTGACCCCCGTCTCCACGTCCCCCTGGGTTTTGGGGTGGCTGGAGTGGGGACCGTGAGTTGGGGGGGTGGATACACAGGGATGGGACTGTCACCTCCAGTCTGGGCTGCTGCCATGCACCTCCTCTTCAGGTTGAGCCAGAGCAGAACCCCGCTCAGCAGCATCACCAGAGCCAGCAGCGCTATCAGCACCGAGCAGGACGGTGAAGCGCCTGGGGGTGGGGGGAGAGCAGGCTTGGGATCCCGTTTCCAGCCAAGACCAGTAACAGCATGCAAGAAAACCTAACACTGAACGTGGTCTGCCTCCCCCCAGCAGCTCAGCTGGTGGTGGAGATGGCCTCCTTAATTAGGCTTCACATTAAGACCCATTTCCCTGGGTGGACAATGGGAGGGGGGGTTGGAGCGACCTTCCGTGTTCCTGCTGCTCTTAAAACCTGTATCAGCTCTCCATTGCGTTGCCCTGCTTTGGATTTGGGGTGCTACATCTCACATAGGCCTATTTCTGACCCTCTGCAATCCTTCAAAGTTGTCTCTGCTCTACCACAACCTATTTGAGAAACGGCCTGGTCCTGGAGGGACCCCAGAGGATTTGGGAGAGGGATAAGGAAATTTGGGCTCCAAGAAGAAATGGGAGGGATGAGTGTGTTCTGGGGTCAGGAAAGCATCTCCGATGCTCGCCAGGGTGATGGAAAATGAGGCACAACCCCCAGGAAAGGCCCTCAAGACCTTGCTGGGATGAACATGTGCCACCTTTCCCCTTTCTTCTCGCCTTGGGACCTTTTCCCCCCACCCAGCATGGACACCGTAGAGGATCCCGGTGCTCACCCTTCGGCTTTGTGCACACCACGCCAGCTGCCGAGCCCTGCCTGCACGGCCCCAGCCCCATGTCTCTCTGCTGGCACTCCAGGAGCAATGACTCGGTCCCCCGGCAGCTCAGCCCCTCCAGCAAGGCATGGTCATCCCCCTGCCTGAGCTGGGCTCCGACGGGCGCCGACTGGGCTGGCCCACAGCCCAGCTGCCTGCAGACCACCCCGGCTTCCAGCAAGCTCCAGCCGCTGCTGCACACCCTGTGCCAGGTAGCGTTGTAGAGCACCTCCACCTGCCCCGCGCAGGAACCGGGACCATCTTTCACCCGCACCTGCAAGGGGTTTGTGCCTGCAAGGGGGAGCAAAGGGGGTGAGACGGCCCCTCCAACCCAGCAGGCAGACGGAGAGGGCCATGCAAGGTGCATACGCATGCAAGGATGAGTGTGCATGCCATGTGCCACCTGTACTTGCTGCACCATTCCTCCCCCCAGCTTCCTTGCAAGGTCATTCCTATCAGTGATGTCCCACCAGTGCTGCCAACCTCCCAGTCCCAGATAAAACCCTTTTTGGGGGCATCTGAGCATGGGGACCACCTGAGCACACGACTCCCGCGTCTTCCTCGTGGTTGCAGTTATGGAGTCCCCAGCTGCTAAGGCTGCACTGGAAGAAGGTGGACTCCATGCCGGTGCACTCCACGTCATCCAACCAGATGGGGTCCAACCCTTGCCCGAAGTGAGCTTGGCCTGGGGCCGACACAGCTGTCCCACAGCCCAGCTGCCGGCAGAGCACTTTGGCATCCTTCAAATCCCAGCTGTCGTCGCAGACAGTCCCCCACCGCTGTTGGTGAAGCACCTCCACTCTCCCGGCACAGCGGTGCGGGCCGTTGGCCAAGCGGACCTGCGCCGCCTCTGTGACATTGGCATCTGGCAGGAGAGAGCCGGTTAGGAAAGGAGAAGAAGGCACCCATCACCTTGCCAAAAAAATCCCCAAACCAGAAGTCAGAGTGCAAACACAGAGTCATTATGGTTCCCCCCAGCAAGGGATGCAACCCCCGCAACGCTTCCAGAGGAGCGTGGCCATGGGGATGGATTTCAGTTGCACCTTCATACCCTAAAATGGTGGTGTTTCCTCCATGCAAGCATGTGGACCAGGCAATGGAGACCAGGGTGGGGATTTGGGGTCGGGTGGTCCCCTTGAGACAGGCCTGGCTTGCTTAGTGCCACGGGGGGGTGGGGGTGGGGGTAGGTTTTGATGAGATGTTGGTTATGAATGGGGTGGGAACCTGTTGCTGGGTTGGGGACAAGCCTGGCCAAAAAGAGGCTACGACCCTTTGCTGGCCCCTCCCTCCCCAAAAAACATGCCTTTCCAGGCCTAGCATCACTCAAGAGGCAGCCAGATGCAGGACAGACCCTCCTGTCCCCCACCCGCCCCAGAGGCCCTGTATCGCAGGATGGGAAGTACCTGAGCACACCACGCCGGCATCTTCTCCGTGGTGGCAGTTACTCCGGCCCCAGGGACGGGCTTGGCACTGGGCAAGGGCATCCTCGCTCCCAGAGCAGGCCACGTCATCCAGCCAGATGTGCCCCATCCCGTGTCCAAAGCGAGCCCGGCCGGGGGCTGCCGTAGCCCTGCCACAACCCAGCTGCCTGCACACCACTGCCGCGTCGTTCAGGTCCCAGCCGTCGTCGCAGACCGTCCCCCACTGCCCTTCATGGAGCACCTCCACCCTCCCAGAGCAGCGATTCGGTCCTTCTGCCAGGCGGACCTCAGCCTTGGCCAGGTCTGTGGGCAGAGAAGCAGGTGATGCAGCGTTGAGGACAAGAGGACGGCGTGTCCGGGGCAGGGGCTTTTTGGTGGCAGCGGCTGGGGTGCAAACCTAGGGCAGATGCCCAGCCATGGTGGGATGGGAGGACAGATCCGGGCCTGAGCCCTGCCTGCAGAGACATGCAGGCAGGCACGGCCCTTGGGGCTTCATAATCACCACCAGGCACCTACGTTTGGCCACCAGACTCAGTCCCTGTTGGGGAAGGGGAGAAATAAATCCCCTTTCTCAGAGCCTCGCTGGGACCCAGCAGAGTCTCGGTGCAGCCTGCATCCCCAACTGGGTGTCAGCGTCCTTTCTCCCCCCCTTCCCTGCTCAGCTGTGCCAAGGGCGGTTGGATCGGGGCAGCTCCGTGGGCTACTGGGGTGTGGGGACAGGGGCCAACACCTTCTGGCAAGGGGATGAGCCCCCATGCCCTTGAAATCTCCTTCCTGCAGCCAATGCTCCTGGGGGCAGGTTGGAGAGGAAAAGGCTTTTTCTTTTTGGGGAGTGGGAGGGAGCAGCTCCAAGCTGTGCTTTTAGGACCTCGCAGGAATGAGCGTCACCTGAGCAGACCACGCCAGCATCCTCTTCGTGGGTGCAGCCGTTGACTCCCCAGGAACTGGCCTGGCACTCCACAAGGGCATTCTCCCCCCCGGAGCACTTGACCCTGGCCAGCCAGATGGGACCCAGCCCGCGCCCGAAGGAAGCCCCTGCCGGGGCTGCGATGGCCACCCCGCAGCCCAGCTGCTGGCAGACCACCGCCGCGTCATTCATATCCCAGCCGTCATCGCAGACCGTTCCCCATTCCTGGTTGTGCAAGACCTCCACCCTCCCGGCGCAGCGATGCGGGCCGTCCACAAGCCGGACAGTCGATGCATTGGTTGCACCAGAATCTGGAAGCACCAGAGAAACGTCACAGTGGGTTGGGGACACACACGGTGCTGGTAGCAATGCCCGGGGCTGGGGCGAAAGGACGCCCTACCTCAGGAAGGGCTTGACCATCTCACTGCAGCATCACCCTGGAGGCAGCAAGATGCAGGATGGACCCCCCCCGGCCCTGCAGGACACCCCGTGTTGCAGGACCAGGACGTACCTGAGCACACCACGCTGGCATCTTCTCCATGGTTGCAGTTACTCTGCCCCCAGGGACGGGCTCGGCACTGGGCAAGGGCATCCTCACTCCCAGAGCAGGCCACGTCATCCAGCCAGATGCGCCCCGTCCCCTGTCCAAAGCGAGCCCGGCCGGGGGCTGCCTCAGCTCTGCCACAGCCCAGCTGCCTGCACACCACCACCGCGTCGTTCAGGTCCCAGCCGTCGTCGCAGACCGTCCCCCACTGCCCAGCGTTGAGCACCTCCACCCTCCCAGCGCAGCGGTGTGGCCCGTCCACCAGTCGCAGGTCGACTGAGCTGGAGTTGCCTGCTTTTGTGGAGAGGGAAATAGGTGGACGCGCGGTTGCAGGGCACCCCCACATCCCTGGACCACCCCCCACCTGCAGCATCCCACATGCCTCCAGGGAGGAGCAGGGCAGGGCCAGCGTTCGAGCATTGATAGCATAGAGTAAAAAAGGGATTGACATGGCCGCGTGCAGCCGTTTTACCGGGGGGACAAAACCTTGGGCGTGATGCCTGGCTGCGGGGTTTGGGTTGGAATGGACCTTTAAAGACCATCTACTCCAACCCCCTTTCCATGGGCAAGAAGATCTTCCACTAGATCAGGTTGCTCAAAGCCCCATCCAACCGGACTCATATAGACTCGTAGAATGGGTTGCATTGGAAGGAATCTTTAAAGATCATCTAGTCCAATCCTTCAGCCTTGGACAGGGACACCTTCCACTAGATCAGGGTCTCAAAGCCCCATTCAACCTGACCTTGAACACTTCCCATGATGGATTATCCACAACTTCTCTGGGCAACCTGTTCCAGTGTCTCGCCATCCCTATCAGAAAACATTTCTTCTTTATGTCCACTCTAAATTTGCACTCTTTCAGTTTAAAAACATTGCCACTTTTCCTGTCACTACAGGCCTTGGTAAAACATCTCTGTCTTTCTTATAAGCCACCTTTAAGTATTGAAAGGCCACAATAAGGTCTCCCTGCAGCCTTCTCTTCTCCAGGCTGAACAACCCCAACTCTCTAAGCCTTTCCTCATAGCAGAGGTGTTCCATCTCTCAGATCATTTTTGTGGCCTCCTCTGGACCGGCTCCAACAGGTCCATGTCCTTCCTGTACTGAGGACCCCAGAGCTGGACGCAGGGTTCCAGGTGAGGTCTCACCAGAGCAGAGCAGAGGGGCAGAATCACCTTCCTCCACCTGCTGGCCACGCTGCTTTGGATGCAGCCCAGGATACGGTTGGCTTTCTGGATTGCAAGCGAATGGTGTCAGCTCATGTCCAGTTTTTCATCCACCAGTACCCCCAAGTCCTTCTCTGCAGGGCCACTCTCAGCCTGCATTGATAGTGGGGATTGCCTCGACCCAGGTGCAGGACCTTGCACTTGGCCTTGAGGTGAAGGTCCAGGAAATACACATGGGTGAAAGCTGCAAGAAGCTCCTACACCAGCTCTGCACACAGCATCTCCGAAGGGGGGGCAGCTGCCTGCCCCTGGGTACCGGCAGGAGCTCTGCCTCCAGCCAGCCCCGTCCTGGCTCTCACCTGCGCACACCACGCCGGCGTCCTCCCCGTGGTGGCAGTTGTGGATGCCCCACATCTTGGCTCGGCACTCAAAGAAGTCACTTTCCTCCCCTGTGCAACTCACATCGTCCAGCCAGATGGGACCGGCTCCCCACCCAAACCGAGCCAAGCTGGGGGCCAAGAGGGCCACCCCGCAGCCCAGCTGCCGGCAGACCACCGCCGCGTCGCTCATGTCCCAGCTGTCGTCGCAGACTGTCCCCCACTCGTTGTTATAAAACACCTCGACCCTCCCGGCGCACTTGCTCAAACCACCCACCAGGCGAAGCCTGGGGATGCTGGCAATTCCCGAGCCTGCAAAATACTCAAAACCAGGCATTATTAGGGATATGCTTGTGTGTCTTCACACCTGCTGGGCTGGAGAAGGCAGGACATCCCTGTGATGGTTCTGGATGGCATTGCTGCAGCGAGGCCCCTTGCCCTTTATCAGGGACTTGTAGCAAAGCGAGCACAGGGGTTTTTGCAGGGTGGAAGGAGCTGCAGAAGATCCCTTTCACCAGTTGCACCCTGAGGGTGGTTGCACCCTGGTTCAGAGGTTGGGACAGGAGAAAGCACACGTGTCTCCATGTGAGGGACACTGTGCAGGCAAGAAGGGATGCACAGAGTCCCTCCCAGTGTTTCTCCATGCTTTCCTTCCCCCTTGCTTGGAAGCTGCATCACCTAGGTTCAGGTGGCTCTACCCGCTTTTTGGCCTAGAGGAAATGGCAAAGGATCTTTTTCTGGTTGTCCCTGTCCTGACCGCTTCTGACTGCCACATTGACCTGTCCGTGGAGGCTGACCTTCTAAGGCCAAGGCTAGACTGGTAGCAGCTAGCTCAAAAGTGGTGTATCACATGAGAGCAGCTGGTTCCAGTGCATCTCTGCGTATATCTGCCCGTCCTGGCGTTTTACAGTGCCGGCAGCACAAGTCGCTCTGTCTGCTCTTGAGCCGGGGCAGGGCATAGTCAAATCTGCTGCCACTCGAGCAGCACCCCCGCACCCTCCAGCTACTGCTCCCAAAGGGTGCAGGTGCTTCACCCCATGAAAACATCTTGGACACCTCCAATGGTACCAGACACTGAGGCATGTCTTTAGCCATGCTGCTTTTTTCCCAGTGTATCCCATTTTTCCATGTCTCTGAACACTGTTATTTTAACACGGTTTCTACCAATCTGGGCAATTTGTTGGCCAGCTTGCTCCCAAACATTTCCCAGCCTGCAGAAGGATGGAGCTTGGTCCGTCTTACAGTAAAGATGTGGTGAGGATTACCTGAGCAGACAACGCTGGCATCTTCCACGTGGTTACATGCATGGTGTCCCCAAGGCTTGACAGGGCATTCAGCGAGGGTGGCTTCTGTCCCAAGACAACTCACCCCATCTAGCCAGATAGGGCCAGATCCTTGTCCAAACCCAGATAAACCTGGGGCTGACACGGCCGTCCCGCAGCCCAACTGCCGGCACACCACGGCCGCGTCGTTCAGGTCCCAGCCATCGTCGCAGATGGTCCCCCACTGCTGGTTGTGAAAGACCTCCACCCTCCCGGCGCAGCGGTGCGGGCCATTCACCAACCGCAGGGCTTCCGAGCTCCCCGGGTCCAAGTCTAAAAACAGAATCGGGGGACAATAAATCCTGGCCAGAAATGCCTGCCTGTCCAGTGGCTGGCAATGGTGGACCTTCCCTTGCAAGGGGGCTTGCAAGGTGTCCACCAGCATGTAGCATTTCTGCTGCTGCCGCTCCATGCTGTGCGTGCATGAACACCTTCTGGGACAAGCCTGCTACGACCATGCCCAGTAGATTGTGAACCCGGACAAGTTACTGAGGAGCTCCCGTGATGTGCATTTCCCCGTGGGGACAAGGAGGCAAGGAAGCAACAAGTGCATCGTGCACCTGAGCAAGGAATAACTTGGTGAAAAGAAGGGACTCCCCGAGGACTAGAGGCTGTGCAGTAGCACGGATCAAAAGAAAACCCACGGGGCAGCTGCAACCCTGGTGGGCCAGGGCTCTTTGCACGTGATGGAAAGCCTACGTCTTACAGGCTTGGGATTTCTGGGAATCCCAGGCTTGGGATTTCCAAGCATTTTGCCTGAGGGAAGCCAGGGACTGGTAGACCTCGAAACAGAAAACACCTAGTACTCCCCGGTGGGACTGCGGGAACAAGGGGTGGTTGAGCCAGGACAAGGTGGAGCTGGATGGAGGAATTTGGTCAGACTGCACGGCCTCCCCCAGGGGAGGACGGATCCCCGACTCACCGCCACTGACCTGTGGCCGCAGAGCACGAGACGCCTGCGTGCCCCCTCGACTTGCAGCTCTCAGCACCCCAGAACTTGACCTTGCATTCGAAGAGGGCCCCCTCCGTCCCGGTGCACTCCACGGCATCCACCCAGATCAGGCCATCTCCTGTCCCAGACGAGGTAGACCCCACGGTTGAGCGCGCCACCCCGCAGCCCAGCTGCCGACACACCACGTGGGCTTCGGCCAGGTCCCATCCGTCGGTGCAGATGCCCCCCCAGCGCTGATCATGAAACACTTCAACTTTCCCGGAGCACGGGTCTGAGCCATTCACCAGGCGGAGGTTTCCAAGGTCGGAAATGCCTGATCCTACAACATTAGAGTGTACACACGTTAAGGAGATAACTTCTGCCCCGTGAAACCTCTGGCTGCCAGCAATGGGTTTACACCAAAGGGGCTCAAGGATGTTCTTGCGACAACACCTTGTGGGTCAAGGATGCTCTTGTGCAACAGAGAGGGCAGGCCTTTGAGGTGTGATGTGAACTGGCCCAAGTGGAGCCCAAGGCTTGATTAGCATGGGCTTGACCACACTATAGCCAGCGGCGCTTATATAGTTTGCCCTCCTAAAGCAGACACATAGGGTAGGGTCCAGTCGCCAAGATGTAGGCATCCTTGTGCCGTTTGGGACTCCCGGGATACCTCACCTGCCCTCCAGCTGCTCCTGAAGGGCACAGATTTTCCTGTAGGATCTCTTAGCCCAACTAGGGGGAGATTCTACCTTCCTCTGCTGGGGCGACTGAATTCAACGCTGGCTGTGTCGGTCAGTGACACATGGATATTAAGGAAAGTCCATCCTGATATTAATCAACCTGGTTGCAACCCAGTGGCCCCAGCTTCTTAATAGTCACTAAAATGGGCTGCGGGTTTCCCCTGGCAGAAAGTCGGAGCTGGAGAGGAGAGAGAGGGATGGGAGATGGGCTCTCATGGGCTCACACAGCTCTGAGCATCATGGGGTACATCTTCCATGGATCAAGCAAAGGTGTCAGAGAGTCCTCCCTGACTGTAACGGGAGAAGACCCATTCATACTGCAGCCTGCCCTGCTATGAAGAAGCAGGTGGCCGTGTTGTAATTTGCCTGGTGGGAATGGTTTCTGGCCTGTGCTAACTGCCAGGATTTGTGATAAATAACATCAGCCAAAAGCATGCCAGAGACCATATTTTTAGCACTAGCCATGCAAATGGGCAAGGCATTTGTTTTTCTCTGGCTTTAATGTCTGCATACAGCTGCCCTCTTCCAGCAGGAGGGACCACGAGGAGCTGACTTCAAAGCAAAGGGTCTCCAGGCTGGCTGCAAACTGTTCCTGCATTGCAAGCCCTTGCGCCCATAGGGGAAAGCAGAGTCAAACCCCAGTGCAGGAGGACCGTGGTAAGGTTTGCAATGGACAGTGGTTACCTGAGCATATCACGCCGGCATCTTCTTCATGCTTGCATCCATGGACACCCCAGCTCTTGGCTCTGCATTCGGAGAGGGCTGCCTCGGTCCCCGTGCAGCGCACGTTGTCCAGCCAGATGGGTCCCTGTCCCTGCCCGAAGTGAGCCCGCTGCGGAGCCGATACCACCATCCCGCAGTCCAGCTGCCGGCACACCACTTTGGCATCCATGAAGTCCCAGCTGTCATCGCACACTGTCCCCCATTTCTCATTGTGAAACACCTCAACCCTCCCAGCGCAGCGACCTGGGCCATCCACCAGCCGGACCGGGGCAAAGCTGGAAACAGCCGAGCCTGCAAACAGGCAGGGAGATGCTCAGAGCATCCAGCCCCTTCACAGGGGGAGGAAGGACCCTGCGTTTTGGCACATAGCTGGTGCTGTGTGGTCACGTCGCCTCTGAACCCACAGCATCTCATCCCCACCTCATGGAGGAACTTCTCAAAGGGTTTAGGGGTATTTGACCCAGAAGCAAGTGGGGTGAAGCTGGCATCTTGCTCCCAACTGGGATGGGGGAAATTATGGGTGCATCCTGACCCACTGCTGTGGTGCCCGAGTGAAACCCACCTGAGCATACCACGCTGGCATGCTTTCCATGGCTGCAGCTGCTCTCTCCCCACGGGCTTGCCTGGCATTTTGTAAGGGCTGGCTCCGTCCCCTGGCAATTCACGTTGTCCAGCCAGATGCGTGGGGGTCCGGCACCGAAGTCCACCCCCTCCAATGCCGGCAGTGCCGTCCCACAGCCCAGCTGCCGGCACACGACCTCGGCGTCCTGCTTATCCCAGCCACGGTCGCAAACAGCTCCCCACTCCTCCTGGTGAAGCACTTCGACTCTGCCAGCGCAGCGGTGTGAGCCATTTGCCAGCTGGAGATGAGCCGGCTCGGGGATGATCGAGTCTGCAAACATCCGAGAAATTTATTAATGCCTTCAGATGGCGGCCAGTTTCCCTCCATGCTTATCCTATTGCAATTAAGCTCCCGGCCCCTCTTCAAGTTGTCAAAAAGCACAGCGGAGGGGGGGAGAAGAGGACTCCCCATGACCCCTGAAACCCTCCCCAGGAGCACCCTGCACCAGACCATCTCTCTGCAGAGCGTGGTCTGCGCTGGTCCTGCATCCTCCTGGACACCAGCCCCACTCCCTGCAAGAACTGCTCGCCAGGCAGCTTGCTTTTGCCAGGCTTCCCCCAATGAGTTGGTCCTGTTGTTGGAGCTGGAAGGTTCCTGGAGGGGTGGGAAATAGGGATCCCTGCAGGAATG